ACAGTTTAACTTCCCGCCCTGCTAGCCTTCGTGTAATGTACGGGAGCAGGGATTTTATTCTAAAAAATGCAAGTATCATCTGTATCTAAATCATCTTCAATCTCCGTAGCATACGCTTGGGCGACGGAATCGTATTCTTCCCCCGCGAGTTTTTCCTCTGGAAGGTCGTTAATTTTCTGATGGCTCCTTGTTGACTGCCCTTTTTGCCAATTTGTGGATTGTTTCAATTGCGAGAGAGTATCAACCTCCATCGGCTCCGGTGGGGGCCTGACCTGACTATTTCCTAAAAAAGAGCTTGGCTTTTGCTTAAAAGAGGGAGTTTTATTATTACTCCAGTTTTGATTTTTTGTGAAGTGAGGGTTTTTTTTTGTTGCCCCAGTATTTTGATTTTGTTCATGATTAGAGGAATAAGACTGGTGTGAGGAATTTTTCCACGAAGGTGGCCGATAATTATTTGTTTTTTCCTCAGCATGTCGGGCGAAACTGGCCACAAATATGCTTCTATCGTTACTTGATTCCGCCTCTTGGGCTAGAGCTAGTGCTGTTGGTAAATCCCGCGGTTGCGCTGGGAAAACAGCTACTTTTAATGATTTTTTAAAGCCGGAAATGAACGCATGAAATGCATCTTCCCTAAATTTCTCATTTAATACTGACGCTGAGGATGCATCATGTGTCATTACTATTTTATTTGTTAGGAGTGTTAATTTTTTCTCCACCTCATCGTAGTATTTAAGAAGTGGTAGATCCCCTTGTCTTGACAAGCTCAATTCTTGCTGAATCACATGCGTTAAGAGTTTTTTCCGCGTATGTGAAATCGAGACGTGCCAAGATAGCGTGAAAGTTTAGCACTGTATTAAACGAAGCTAATACAGCTGCTGTCGGACCTCTAACTTTTTTTTTTAGAATGGCCACTGCCTGATAATGCCGACTGCTGCCATTATATGGCTCAAATACCGGACGCAGACGTGTAAATTAAATGTATGTCAAATGTAAATTGTTTTCTGTTTGTTAAGAATATTAAAATTGTTATTATTTTATAGTTGTCCTGAAGACGGTTGCCGAAGAACATCCGAAATATATTGACAAATAACTAAAATTTTATTTTTTCAACATCCCGACCTCGAGCCCGGTTAACAATTAATACATTTTTGAAAACATTAAAACTATGATTTACTTGCGTATATGTCCAAAAACATTGAAGCTATGATGATTTGAAGCTCAATTATTAGATAGTCATTTTATATATTTTTATTATTTCTATGGGAGCTATATGATATAGTCGTCCGATCTCAATAAAATTTAAACCGTAATTCTAAAATTTTTAACCATTACTATATGTCGAAGAACTTAAAAAAAAATTAAAAAGCAGCAAAGTTATAATTTTTTTATTTATTTTGTTCGATTGATCCTATGGGAGCTATATGCTATATTCGTCCGATCCGGCTCGTTCCGACTTATATACTACCTGCAATAGAAAGACAACTTTTGGGAATGCAGATAGCTTTAAAACTAAGAGACTTGTTTGCATAGAAACGGACGGACAGACGGACAGACTGACAGACGGACATGGCTAGATCGACTCTGCTAGTGATGCTGATCAAGAATATATATACTTTATAGGGTCGGAAATGTCTCCCTCACTGCGTTGCAATCCTCTGACTGAAATTATAATACCCACTGCAGGGGTATAAAAACCCAACTCACTCAAACCCAATAAAATAGTGGAAGAATTAAGAATCCATACAAAGCAATAAAGGAAGCAAAATCGGCAAGCCGAAGTTCATATACCCTTTAATTGAAAACATTAAAATTGTGATTTATTTGCGTATATGAACAAAAACATTGATGTTGTGATGACTTACAGCTCAATTATTTGAGTTCCTATAGCAGCTATATGATACCGTTTACCGATTTTAATAAAATAAAAAGCGTAATTCTGAACTATCAATTAAAAAAAAAAAAATTAAAAACAGCAATGTTATAATTTTTATCATGAATTTTTCCGATTGTTCCTATGGGAGATAAATGCTATAGTCGTCCGATTTTGATGAAATTTAAAACCTAATTCTGAAATACTTAACCATTACTATATGTCGAAGAACTAGGAAAAAAATTAAAAAACAGCAGTTATAATTTTTTGTATTTATTTTTCCGATTGTTTCTATAGAAGCTATATGCTAAAGTCGTCCGATTTTGCTGAAATTTAAACCGTAATTCTGAAATATTTAACCATTACTGTATGTCGAAGAACTAAAAAAAAATAAAAAAAAACATCAAAGTTATAAATTGTATACCCTTGCAGGGGGTATTATAATTTCAGTCAGAAGTTTGCAACGCAGTGAAGGAGGCTACTCCGACCCTATTAAATATATATATTCTTGATCAGCATCACTAGGAGAGTCGATCTAGCCATGTCCGTCTGTCAGTCTGTCCGTCTGTCCGTCCGTTTCTATGCAAACTAGTCTCATAGTTTTAATGCTATCTGCATTCCCAAAAGTTGTTATTCTATTGCAGGTAGTATATAAGTCGGAATGAGCCGGATCGGACAACTATATCATATAGCTCCCATAGGAACAATCGGAAAATAAAAGAAAATAAAATTATAAAATAGCTGTTTTTAATTTTTTTCTTAGTTCTTCGATATATAGTATTGGTTAATTATTTCAGAATTACGCTTTAAATTTCATCAAAATCTGACGACTATAGAATATAGTTCCCATAGGAACAATCGGAAAAAAATGAAAAAAAAAAAACAAGAAAGAAAGCAAGCTTCGGCAAGCCGAAGTTCATATACCCTTGCAGCTATTGCAAGAATTAATTACTATTGAAAACATTAAAATTATGATTTAATTGCGTATATGTTGAAAAACATTGAAGCTATGATGATTTGCAGCTCAAATATTAGAAAATAGTATATAAGTCGGAACGAGCCGGATCGGACGACTATATCATATAACTCCCATAGGAACAATCGGAAAACAAAAGAAAATAAAATTATAAAATAGCTGTTTTTTAATTTTTTTCTTAGTTCTTCGATATATAGTATTGGTTAATTATTTCAGAATTACGCTTTAAATTTCATCAAAATCGGACGACTATAGAATATAGTTCCCATAGGAACAATCGGAAAAAAATGAAAAAAAAAAATAAGAAAGAAAGCAAGCTTCGGCAAGCCGAAGTTCATATACCCTTGCAGCTATTGCAAGAATTAAATACTTTTGAAAACATTAAAATTATGATTTAATTGCGTTTTTGTTGAAAAACATTGAAGCTATGATGATTTGCAGCTCAAATATTAGATAGTTATTTTATATGTTTATATTATTTCTATGGGAGCTATGTGATATAGTCGTCCGATTTTGATGAAATTTAAACCCTAATTCTGAAATAATTACCCAATACTATATGTCGAAGAACTAAGAAAAAAATTTAAAAACAGCTAAGTTATAATTTTTGATAATTTTTTTCCAATTGTTCCTATGGGAGCTATATGATATAATCGTCCGATTTTGATGAAATTTAAACCGTAATTCTGAAATATTTAACTAATCCTATATGTCTAAGAAGTAAGATAAAAATTAAATTTTTTTTATTTATTTTTCCGATTGTTGCTATGGGAGCTATATGATATAGTCGTCCGATCCGGCTCGTTCCGACTTGTATACTACCTGCAATAGAAATAAAGATGGACGGAAAGACGGACAGACGGACGGACAGACGGACATGGCTAGATCGACTCTGCTAGTGATGCTGATCAAGAATATTTTACTTTATAGGGTCGGAAATGTCTCCTTCACTGCGATGCAAACTTCTGACTGAAATTATAATACCCTTTGCAAGGGTATAAAAAGTGTAAAAAAATTGCACGAGCACGTCGGTGTCACCATGAAATACGAGCAAAATACTATTTTGTAATAATTACAACACGAGAAACTCGTGTTGGGTGAGTTTATTGCCAAAAATCGCTTTAAAAAATTATAGCTGACTAAATATAAATAATTTTTCAAATAAAGATTAGAAGACTAAACAAAGTTGGCAGAGCAATAACAAACGTTAAAAGTAATTTAAGGTGAAAAATATCGTAAAAATGTCGACCATTCATATTTTGCTTAACCACGATAAAATTTGTTATATATACACTATTTTAGGTCTACAATATTTAAACGTTTTTTAAACTTACGGCCGAAGACCGCAAATTTGGTGCTCGACGCGAAACGCTTTTTTTGAAACTTCGAAAATGTGGGGTGTAGCTGGACTCCGGATTGCACCCCGCCCTCTATAACTCTGTTCCTGGTGGACTAAACAGAAAAAAACTTTTCGCATAATATAGTGCTAATTTGGTGCTCCTGAAATCCAAAAAGACGATTCGTACTCAACAGGAAATCTTTTTAAAAAAATTTCGAAAATGCGGGGTGTAGCTCGACTACGGGCTTCTGTGGTAGTTAGAAGATAAGAAATGGAGTAGAGCATAATTTTGTGCTAACGGGAACATATATTTTTTTAAATAAAAAAATGTGGGGTGTATTGTAGCGCAAAACCTACCTATCTTCCCCAGAAGCAAAGTTATAGAGTGCTGAGTTTAGCCCGTAGTCGAGCTATCAATATTTAAAAAAAAAAATATGTTCCAGTCGAGCACCAAATTTGAGTTTTTTGCGTTTAAGGACTTAGCACAAAATTATGCGTTACTCCTTTTTCTTCTAACTAACACAGAAGCAAAGTTATAGAGTAGTCGTAGTCGAGCTACACAATGCATTTTTTAATTTAAATAAATGGCTTCCCCTCGATCACCAGACTTGCGTTTTTGGGCCGTATTTAACACCAAACTAGCAGGAAATTTTGGAAAAGAAATTCTCCCGATATGAGCAATGCTCGACTGATCTAAAAATGTTGTACTTAGCGAATTAAGTTTGTTAGTTGTGTTAATAAAATGATGCCCACAAAAATGTTTTTTATTTAAAGACAGTTTTACTGCATTTGTTATTATTATAGGTAAAACTTACCTTTGTGTGACGACTCGGATATTTTGTTTAAAAATACTGTGCTCTGCTTAACTCGAAATGCTAACAATAGCACATTAAAGCCATGGTCTTAATGTACATGGTCCGTAAAATTAAATACGGAAGTGCTTTAAGTACTTAATAAGTATTTATCGATTGTTCCATTCGTGAGTTAAGGCTGCTATGACTTTTCGCGCATGGTTTCTAACAGTTATCCAAATAATTCGACATTAAAAGATTCAGTCAGAAGTAAAAAATATCATTGATGAGGAAAATTTAATAAGCTTTAAATTGGTTTAATTTTCTGAATTTTATTTACAAGAGAATGATGTTTTGTTCGATTACAGAATTTTGCACTAGTAATAAATAAAAAAAAAACTTTAAAAATACTGAAAAGGGCTTTTGAAATAATTGGTTGCTGTCTGAGACGTAGAAAGCTTGCTAGTCTTTTATCAAAGCTTAAGGTTGCTAAACCACCACCTCACTACAAAAAAAAAATATCATACATGCGGGAACCATATGTACGAAAGCTTTTTCATATTTAGGTAACGTAAGGGCGAAACGGCGCTGTCAGTTCTCCCGTGAACCGAACCACTACATTTTAATTATTTAAACATCTTTAGCACAATATAAATTGTAACATTTAATTAAACCTAAAACAAGACAGGAAGCAAACTTCGGCAAGCCAAATGTTTTATACCCTTGCAACTATTCCAAAAATGAACTATTCTTTAAAACATCTAAATTTCGATTTATATGTTTAAAGACATGGAAGCTTTGATGATTTTCAGCTAACATTTTCGAGAATTCCTATGGCAGCTATATGATATCGTTTTCCAACTTGAATATAATGAAAAGCGTAATTCTGAGTTATTATACAATTACTTCGGCATTTTAACAATTTCACCGCCCCTGTTCTATTCGAACGAATTAAAGGGACATTTTTCTATGTTAACGGGAAATTCGAATAAATACAGGCCTCACACGAAGGTGAAACTTAATAACATTTTCGGATTTCTCTTTAACATACGAAAATTTCGCAAGTAGTGTTGAGAACCAGAGTTGCAAACGGCGGAAAGTTTCCATGCGATTTTTTCGGAAGTTAACATAGAATTATCAGAGACAAATTCCATACCGTGAGAATTGTTCGGAAGTGAATACTGGAACAGGTGGCACTATTCAAGCCTTCCTTAATCCTGGGTCCTAAAGCGATAGTAAATAATTGTTTGAGCAAAAAAATGTGATGGCCCTTTGACTTACTTTAAGCGTACCGAAAGAAATCGCGCAGACGTCATTACTATATAAAGCAAATTATATCAGGAACCAGTGATACACCACAACGTATCGTTTTAAGCAGAAAGTGCATTCCATGACAATGAATTTTAACTGGTTAAGTGGAAACATCAGGATAATGAATATTAAAATTTGAAAATTGAATATCTTGGGACCTCTTGGACATAATATAGCAGTTGCGCATTGAGTTGAATTTTTGTTGAAAATACGCTTCGAAGAATTTTTAAAACATTTTGCGAATTTGTGAGCAAGAACAAAAGTCTATTAATCAGTCCAGGAAATATTTTTGTTATGTTAAGCGGCTTGAGCTGATTCACCACTCTTTTAATAAGCATAATTTTTTTTTTGGAAAACTACTAAGCACCCACATGCGAGCGATGCACATCTTTCGCAAAAGTTGGACTTAATTCGAAAATCTTTCTTTAAATATATATAATTTAGTTCAAGTTAAAAACAAGAAAGAAAGCAAACTTCGGCAAGCCGAAGTTCATATACCCTTACAGTTATTGCAAGAATTAAAATTTTTGAAAACTTTTTGAAATGTTGAGAAAATAACAAAATTTTCCGTGTATACCGACAGAACTAGCGCTGGATATAATTAAAAACAAATGGACAATAAAACAAAAACCCAGTAAAATACCGCAAACAAGATTTATGGACATAATAATATTTTGTATTCAAGAAAACAGATATTTCAAATTTGGAAACAATTTTTACACACAATTAAAATAAATGCCTATGGGATCGTTAATTATTAGCTAATTTGGACTCAGTAATAATTAGACGTGGAAACAGATTAAAATTAAAATGGTACAAGAAACAAATTGCGTCCGGTAGAATCATTAATTTTAACTCCAAACGAATGATATTAAATACAGCTAGAAGCTGTATACAGAGAATGCTCAAAATTTCAGACACGGGTTACCACGAAAAGACTCAGGAGATAAAATCAATGTTAACAGACAATGATTTCCCAAAACACATAATAAAAACATTATTATCGGAACACAAAACAAAAAAACAAAACAGCGTTAAAAGCAATAAAAACAAAAAATATATGTCAATGTCAATGTCCCGGCATTATTCGAACGTGTAGCGAAATCGGAATGCTACGACAAAGAAAACATAAGTATCGCACATAAACCGGACTACACATTAAAATCAATATACAACAGAACAAAATCTAAGATAAATGAAATTGACAAAAAAGACGTGATATATAAAATACCGTATAACGGCAACAACAACGAAATATGCAACGTGATATATATAGGAACAACAAAATCGAAATTAAAAAGTAGACTAGCACAGGACAAATCGGACTTCAAAGCTAGACACCATACGAACGCGCAAGAAACAGCACTCATGTCCCACTGTGCCAAGAATAATTACTCTCCGAACTTCGAAGAGACTAGTTTCTTATCTCAAGAACAACACTATGTCAATAGATTCACCATAGAAATGCTACATATCATAAAAACACCTACAGACATGATGAGGATGAACTACAAAACGGACACTGACAATTACGCTCATGTATATAGACATTTACTAGGGAAGAAAAAAATTAGTTAACAACTCTACGTCACCGGACGCAGACGTGTAAATTAAATGTATGTCAAATGTAAATTGTTTTCTGTTTGTTAAGAATATAAAAATCGTTGTTATTATTTTATAGTTGTCCTGAAGACGGTTGCCGAAGAGCATCCGAAATATATTGACAAATAACCAAAATTAAAAAATTGTGTTATTTTCTCAACATCCTGACCTCGAGCCGGTTAACAATTCTTATACTTTGGAAAGGTCGCCAAAACCAACTAGTTTTCAAAAATGTTTAATTCTTGCAATAGCTGCAAGGGTATATGAACTTTGGCCTGCCGAAGTTTGAATTCTTTCTTGTTTTTTGTTCCATTACTTAAGATATTTTTATATTTTATAATATCGTAAATTTCAATTGAAAAATATATTTCTTTTGAGTTTTATGGATAGATTTATGGATTTTTTGGCCTTGCATGGAAACATTTTTGAGCAGATCTAGGCCGCTCGCGAATAATTTTTTTTAAATGTACTATAAAGTTACACCAACATGCTTACAAAGTATGATTTTTTGTGGGATAATTGAAATATTTGATATCATTGTTTCAAGCTTTTAAGGGAAAAATCAGTTGTTTAAGGGACAACTGTTTGAAAGCCTGTGTTGAACTGTTTCAATTGCAGCCTAGTATGCTGCTTAATATACGGTTTAGTCAGATGCTTAATCAGCTTTGGGACTTATCTCTCAAAAATCCTTTTACTCTGTAAACTTATGAGCTTCGATAATCGTGCATAAACTTGGAGTGTTATTTTGCTGGTAATTTCTTTATAAAAATGTTAGTTCGCTGATTTATACTTTTATTTGGAACACAAAATCAGCAACTTGTCTCTCCCATCGTTTTGTTTCTCATCATGAAAAAGTCTGTATGTGAAACTTGTCAGGTTCGACTTTTTGAGCCGGGAATTAAAACATATCGTTTTTTTTTTTATCAACCTAAGATTTGCCTGACTTATATTTAAGATTGGCTTACTACAAAAATCTTTTTGAAACTTATAATCGTTCGGCGTCTTGACATTGCGATCTTGATCCTGGAACTTGGCATTTGGTTAGCTTGCTAGAAGAATTTAGGTACCTCTTTATCAATTCGAGCGTCGATGTTATATGTGTGTCTGAAACTTGGTTTGTTCCTAATTTATGTGATGTTTTAGTTGAATGTGATGGTTATAATTTGCATCGCTCTGGTCGTGATAGTCATGGGGGTGGGGTTTCAATATATGTGAGTAAAAAGTTATGTTCCACGTTTGTATGTTAACACTCAACCAGTAGTGCAATTGAATACTTATTTATAGAAATTAGGTTCCAAATATATGCTGATAAGCTACTTATTGAGTGTATATACCGACCTAACTGCTGCTTAAATATCCTCCCTGACGTGTCATTAAATTATTCAGACGTCATTATAACAGGCGATTTTAATAGCAATATTTTGAGGGAGTTCCACCTCGCAGAGGACATGAAATCGCTGGGGATGAAGTTGGTCACCTTTGTGTCCCCTACGCATTTACGCATTTTACCAAAACCCGCAACTCGTTTTTAGATTTATTTTTCGTGTCTGATACAACTTATTGTACCATTCTTTTCAAAACATGACCTCATATTCTAGACATAAATCTTATAAACTTAAGAAAAAGTTCTGAACCCACGATTTGTACTTTGTCTGTGATATCAGGTTTAGGCTTATGTGTGTAAACCAGTGTGATATCCTTCAGAGTATACTAAGAATTAAGAGTGACGCCACTGGGTCTGACAACATAAACCCTAAATTCATAAAAATTCTGCTGTCAAAAATCCTGCCATACATAACCTATACCTTTAATACTGTACTGACAAAATCTACGTATCCGGATAGTTGGAAAACGGCAAAAATAATTCCGATTCCTAAATCAAATAATCGATACAGTAAACCATAATATCCTTTGTGCAAAACTACGTAATATGTTAATGTTTTCCAAAACTTCTGTCAAACTTGTGTCTTCGTACCTACAAAATCGTCGTCAATCTGTTGTACTGTCTAGCGTTTCGTCTTCATATAAAAATGTTAATCGTGGTGGTCTGTGGTTGGTCCCTTATTGTTTACTTTATATGTTAATGACCTTTCCAATGCGTTATCTGAATGTAATGTACACTTGTATACTGATGATGTCCAAATGTATGTGAGTCGTCCTTTAAACTTGAACGTGTAAATGACACTGGAGATCACTTGAGTACTTTGAAACAGGTGTAAACTTAGGTTTTACATTCAACAGAACTCTTACCTGGAATGATTATATTACAAAGCTTGTAGGGAAAACATATGGCATAATAAGGACATTATCCGTAACTAAAAATTGCCTGCCCACCCGAATACGTTAACTAATAGCTAAAACCTGAATTGTTCCAGCGCTATTTTATGGAGTAGAAGTTTTTTCAAACTGTGACACTAAAGTTCTATTTAATGGCATAGCCAGGTATATTATCAACCTACCACATA